GAGGCTCAGGGTGGGTTAACGTGCTCCTACAGCATAAGACATCCAACAGACAAGGGAAGAGTACAGAATTAAAAGACAAAGCAAACAACAAACTGCTGTATTACGTAACAGGATTACATACATACATACATACACAATAGTACAATGTAGTACATGGAAATACAAAGTTAGCAGACAATGCAGTAAAAGCAGTATGATACCTGGAATAATCATTGCAGTGGGTTACAGCCCAATTCCATTATAAAGGCGCCCTCCTGGAATGTTCCATTCTGGTACAGTTCTAACCTCTTACAGCAGCAGACTCTAATCTGGAGAACCGGGTTTGATTCCCCACTCTTCCACATGCAGCCAGCTGGGTGACCTTGGGTCAGCCGTAAGTTCTTTTAGAGTTGTTCTCTCACGAGCAGTTCTCGAAAGAGCTCTCTCAGCCCCACCTACCTCACAGGGTGTCTGTTATGGGGAGGGGAAGGGAAAGGAGATTGTAAATTGCTCTGAGACTCCAAGTGAAGGGTGGGGTATAATTCAACTCTTCTTCTCCTTCTTCTGCCACGGACTTCAATAGACTGAGAAGAGTGTAACTCTGTTTAGGGCTGCACTAAGAGTCTCAAACACAGATTGTTTGAGAAAGGCGAACGCAGGCCCATCAGCCTCACTGTGAGGTCTGTCAGGAACTTGAGAACCGCTGCCAAAGTTTTTCACAGCCTCAAGAAGCAAGGAGCCCTCAGGAGCTGCCTGACCTGGATTCCAAGCAACGTGCAGCCTTTCCAGTCAGGAGTTCCTCACAGCTGTGAAACTGTCAGCACCTTCCCGCCCTTTCCTTCCGGCCCCACAATGCAGTTTCATAATTCAGCCCCTCAACATCAGCTGTGCCCCATTCAGAAACCTTCCCCTACCCACCTTCATCAGGTGGGGGTCATCCCCTAGCACAGCCCGGGTCATGTGCTGGTAATACTTCTGCAGGTCATCTGTCAATGCCGAGACAGCACTAGGCACTGGAAGAAAGAAGAGAAGGTGCGGTTTGTAGATGTTTTGGAGGAGGGGCTTAAAGAGGAAGAGCCTCAAAGGGTAAGAGATGGACAAGTGTTGACCTTTCTACCCCTTGATCTTATAAGATGATTTTATTTTTCCTCTAGTATGTGTGCGTGTGCTGTCGAGTCCGAACGGACTCATGGTGGCCCCAGGACCATGGGGGTCTCAAGGCAAGGGAGAATCAGAGGTGGTTTGCCATTGCCTTCCTCCACACAGCAACCCTCATTTTCCTTGGTGGTCTCCCATCCAAGTACTAACCAGGGCCGACCCGGCTTAGCTTCCAAGCCCTGACAAGATTAGACTATGCTGGGCTATGGAGTGGTCCCACTTTTTTTCCTGCCCTTCCTCCAAGGTGCTCAGGACAGTATTCTTCATGCCACCATTTTACCCGCAAACCAATCCTGTGAGGTAGGTTTGACTGAGAGAAAAAGAGAGAGAGCACAACTGGCCCAAGGTCACCCAGCAAGCTCCACAGCATGGTGAGAATTTAAACCTGGATCTAACCAATCCCAGTTTGATACTCTAACCGCTGTACTGGGTTTACTTACAGAGAATGGCACTGTGGGATTACTGGGAGGAGTCTGCTGCTAGGAGGCAGCAGCTGGAGCCCACCCTTTACAGGTAGGCCCTGCCTCCTCCTGGAGCTCTGAGTTCTCCCACAGTACAGGCAATACCCTTCGCTAAATTGCAACGGAGGAGCTCCGGAATTTTCAGGTACAGGGTCCCACTTCTGCATCACACAGCTGTGGGCCCCAGTCTACAAATGGCCCATCCTTGTGCTTGTGGATGCACCACTCACGCAGTGGAGTTGCACAGGCTCTTACCAGATCCTTGAGGTTCCAGGTTCCCTTTTCCATCCAGGTAAGAAACATGAACTATAAACAGAGAAACAAGAAGTCAACAATCAAGATCATCAACCGGTCCATTCTTGGATTCCCCACATCACACCTACAGCCTACAAGATTCATTGTATCGCCTGCAGAGATCTATACCTATACCAATTAAAACAGGATCTCTTACGAGCAGGGAAATGTTTCTTTTTCAACCTAATGGAGGTGTGGTGGGTTTTTTCCACCCTCCTTCAAAGACAAACTTTTGCTGAAAAGGGAATGAGGTTTTTTTGTTTTTAAACTGAACTTCATTTCAGCTTCAAAACATAAGAACAGCCTTGCTGGGTAATGCCAAAGGTCCATGTGACATGGCATCCTGTTTATAGCTGCAGCCAGCCAGATGTTTCCAGGAATCCCATGTGCAGGGCGGGAAGCCAACAGTTCTATTCGGTTGTTTGACTCACCACAATTGGTCCACTGAGGTATATGACCTCTGAACATGGAGGCTTGTGTTTGATACTGTGGCTTTTAATTGTAATTCACCTTAGAAATATTCTAAAGAAAGTTTAATAATAGATATACTTATAATGTACGTATTCACTGCCCTGAGCCTGGTCCGTCCAGGAGAGGGCAGTATAAAAATCAAATTTAAATAAATAAATAAATAGCCACTGACAGATCTCCTCCATAAATGTGCTGAATCCTCTTTCAAAGCCATCTAAGCCAGTAGCTTTTTGTGGAAATTAATTCTGCAAAATAATCCTGTGTTCACAGAGGGGGTCCATCGGTGGTTAATTAGCTCTGACAGGTAAGTGGGAGCCTCCATGTTCAGAGGCAGTATACCTCAGCTGAGCAACAAATAAGAAAGAATTTACTTAGGTCAGGGTTATCTATATTGCGAAGTGCCAAGAGATCTGGAAGTGGTGATGATGAAGCCTCTGGCAGTGATTGTCCAATTCTCCTTTCTATCACAGTAGGAAAGACAGCGAGGAGTTTCTCTGGCTTCCCTTAGCCAAGCTACTCCAGTCTTAAAGGAGCTGGGGGATATCTGAGGTGTGGAGAAATGCAGCGGGCCTTTAGGAAAGGAAGAAGCAACCAGAGAGGGAAGAAGCGGACCAAGATAAGCGGCTGTGGCAGAGCTTTAGATGCAGAAGGTTCCAGATTCAACCTCTGCTTAAAAAGATCTCACATGCTGCAAAATACTTCCTCTTCTCCTGCCTGAAGCCCTAGAGAGCTGCTGCCTGTCAGTCCAGGGTCAGCTGGACCAGGAGTCTGATTTGGAGTGAAGCAACTGGAGATCGGTGGAAGAGAGGATGCCTTATAGGCAGAAGAGCTCAGTTTCAATCCCTGGCATCCTCATTTAAAGGATCTCCAATTGTAACAATTTTGGGAAAGGCCTGCCGCCCACCTGGAGTAAAATCAAACTGAGCTCAATGGATCAGTGGTCTGAGTCAGAATTAGACAACACCACGTACTCCTGAGGAGAGGCCATAACTTTGCATGCAGAAGAGGACAGATTCCGTCCCTGGGATGTCTCTTAGAAGATCTTGGGCAGTAGGTGTGTCTGCATGCAACACTGTAGAGTCAAAGGAGAGGGCTTTCTGCAGAACTAACAGCCATGCACACAGAAGGCTCCAGTTGCAAAGCCTTAATGCAATCTCAGGTTCAAGGATTTAAGTTTGCAGGATTAGGAAAGCCAGTCTCTCTCAGTATAAGAATGACTCATTATCTCCATAAGGAAAGCATGACTGTTTCACACATGCAAGTCACTGCTTAGCGTTACAAGGCATACAAAACAATGATGACTGTGGGTGTGAGAACTGGGTTTCCTTCCCCAGCTTAAGCCTACCTCCCCACTCCCAAACAGTACATCTGACACAGGCCCTGCCCAGTGAACGACCCACAATAGCCTGTCTTGTCCTGTGTTACAGATCAAATCGTTTTTGATCTTTTAATACTCTATGGAAATACTGATTCAATCAAATAAATGTTTGTTCCTCCTCTGCCACCACTACCCCCTTTAAAAGAATGAATGAAATCCACTTTTTAAATGTTCAAAATATCACTTTGGCAGGGGAAACTGGTTAGTGAGCATCACAGGTCATGAGCATCAGAGCTCTGCATAGCTGCTTCTACTGCAAAAGATAGGAACACTTTAATGTAAGGGGAAACCATTTTGCAGCTTACTGAAATACAGCGAGAATGCTCGTGCAGCAGGCTCAAGAATAAAATAACGTACATCGGGACACACAATGTGTTTGTACAACCTGGGCCACTTCCCACGAGAAACATACCCCTCACGGCTGTCTCGGCACAGCCCTGGGGGATGCTGGTTTCCAGAGCCAGCTCCACCAAGTTCACTTCGCGATCCTCCTGGAAATAAAGTTCTCCTTCCTTAAGGGTACGGAAAGGGAGGGCCTCCTGAGAGCCGTAGCCGCACACTGCCTGCAATGACAAGACACCATCAGCCCCTCACGACTGCTCACACTGACAAGCTGCGGACTATTGGCATTCTAACAGGACCGCCAACGGATATAAAGAGGGTTTATTATCTGCCTTTCGACTAATCCATTGACTTCAATTCAGAATGAAAAGAATAACCTACTGGTTAGATTAATCAATTTAAGAGGTTTTGAACAACAACAAAAACAGCAGATATCCAAATTAAACAGCCCTCAGATCTCCTTGTAGAACAAAATGTGTTGTCTTTGAAAGAGGCATTCCCTCTGGTCTCTCACCCAGCAGTGAAGGACTCTTCTAAAACGTCACTTCCTAGGATGTGTGCCTAGCTCAGCCAGGCAGCACAGGGTAGAGAGCTGGACTGGGATCTCGGAGACCCAGGTTCAGATCCTCCCACTGCCAATGAAGCTGGCTGGAGGACCTTGGAGCAGTCACACACTCTCAAAATAGCCAACTTCTCAAGGTTGTCATGAGGATAAGATGTAAAAGGGGTGACTGTTGTGAGCCACCTTGGGGCCCCACTAAGGGAAGAAAAGTGGAGAAAGAAAGAAAGAAAGAAAGAAAGAAAGAAAGAAAGAAAGAAAGAAAGAAAGATCCCCCCCTCCCTCCCCAAAAATTCCCACCAGCTGCTTTTTTTCTGCTGCCAGCACTGAAAGGAGCAATGGTTTACTTACCTTAGCAACAAAACCATTTCTTTGAGACATATTAAGGCTCCAGCACTCCACTGACAGTACCATCCTATGAAAAGTTCCTGCAGTCTCAGCCCACTGATTTCCAGGGGATTCAGGACTGAAATGACTCTGCACAAGATTGCCTTCTCATCCCTCAATTTATTCTTCAGAAGTATCTGGGATCGAAGGCTGCCTTGGCAATTCTATAGCCAGAAAGTCAGAGCTGTTCTCTCAAGGACAGTTTTGGAAAGAGCTCTCTCAGCCCCACCTACCTCACAGGCAATGCTCCCTCTAAGGTGTGGAGTCTTGTGAGCAGTGAGCTACTGGAATTAAATTTGTGAGTGAGCGATTTGACTACTGCATAAATTAGTTTGCTCTGGAGCCATCCTTCCTGAGCTAAGACAAAAATGTGTGAGCCGGAGGCTAAAAAACTGAGAGCTATCTCACACTAACTCAGCTTAGAGGGAACATTGCTCACAGGGTGTCTGTTGTGGGGAGGGGAAGGGAAAGGAGTTTGTAAGCCGCTCTGAGACTCCTTTGGGTGGTGAAGGTAGCGGGGTATAAATCCAATCTCCTCTCCTTCTCCTCCTCTTAATTCCACAGAAATAAGCATCATGCACAGCAGCTACATGGATAAGAACACAAGAACATAAGAAGAGCCCTGCTAGATTAGACCAGTAGTCCATCTAGTCCAAAGAGGAATCATTAAGCTATTTATTTGTTTAAAAAAATATGCTGCCTCTCCAGGGAAACTGCCTGAGGAGGCTTGCAAAAGAAAACAGAAGGAAAACATCACATTAAAATCGATCAGTTAAAGTTTTCAGCCCCACCTCCACGTTGCTCCAGCGCAGCGCTCGGTTAAAGTCTTCCACCGTCAGCTTCCGGCGTTTGGTGTGCTTCATGAACTGGGAACTGTTCTAAGGGCAAGAGAAGAGGCAATCTCCTTTTTAAACATAACAATAAAACCTAAACAGGCAAAACACAAAACCATAAAATCTCAACCATAAAAATCAGTGAAGGCTCAAAAAAGAACCAAAATTACAAAAAAGGTTTCCACCGGGCGCCTCCAACTCAGCAATGTAGACTGCCGTGCAAATGGGTCTGCAGAGGAATTTTCCCGAAGGAGATACCGCAGCAGAGACGACCTCCATTTCTGGAAAGAACCCACATAATCTCCAAAGGTAAATAGGGCCTCTAATCTTAAACAGTAGGGGGGCTCTTATAAGGGATAGCCACCATTAAGCCTTTATGTTGTTTGGGTTTATCACTCTCCTTAGGCAGGCACCTGGCCTGTGGCTTTTGGTTGTGAACAGAACCGGTCCTTGGGAGTTTCCCTAAGTTGTTTCAACCTACCAGTGCCGATTAGCAAAGTGTGTCCTGATTGGCTAATGAGGTAATGGGCTGAGGCAAGGATGTTTGAAAACATGCCTCACTCAGAGATCAGGAGGCCAGCTATTCTATCAACAGGTGAGAAGAGACTATGTCTTCTATCCTCCCCCCCCCCCAAAAAAAAACATAGACTGTCTTGCATGGGATGGACTTTCTCTCTCAAGCCTGCAAGCAAGAACCATGTGATGGACCTGCATCTGACAACCTAGCCAGCAAGCTTTGAATGTATAGTAAGATGGCTTTTAACCAGATGTAGTTCAGTATTATTCTTTATTTGGCATTACTTGTGCCAGTTTGGTGTAGTGGTTAAGTGTGCGAACTCTAATCTGGGAGAACCAGGTTTGATTCCCCACTCCTCCACTTGCACCTGCTGATGTGACCTTGGGTCAGTCACAAGCTGTGGCACAGCTGTCCTTGAAAAAGAGCAGTTTGTGTCAGAGTTCTCTCAGCCCCACCCACCTCACAGGGTGTCTGTTGTGGGGAGGGGAAGGGAAAGGAGTTTGTAAGCCGCTCTGAGACTCCAAGTGAAGGGCGGGGTATAAATCCAATCTCTTCTTCTTCTTCTCTTCTTAAGAATGGCTCCTACCCAGCATATACTCTTTGTAACTTGAATAGCTTACTAAAACTGGAATATTTTGCTACCTTCTAGTGTCTGGAGTTACTTACTGACTACGTGCAGCAGGTAACCTCAGAGGAGAACCTGGGAAGCTGAAAGCCTGTGGTAAAAGGCCTAGAACCCTTGAGGCTCCCAGCTGGCCGTGGTTTCAGCACCTGGGAGCAGGAGTAGGGCTCTCTAGGACTACACAGCTCTGTATGGGAAACAGCCAGTCCTTCAACTACCCGAGTCCCACATCTTTAAAAACAGGATTCTTAGTAGTCACTTTAAACAAAATGATAGTGAACGAAGCTCTTTAAGTACAGCAAAGATCTGCCTCTTTCTTGTTTCACCAGCCCCTCATCTTGCCGCTACGCTCCAAAGAAGTCTTCACAAGTTGTCCCATATAGAGCATCTCAGGAAAGTTTACAACCACATCACAGTCTGGGCACTTCAAGTTCTCAGACAGTTCTGAGGACTGGCTACCTGTGATCCTTCGAACTACAGAGAGCAGGAACTGAACCCGTTACGATCTGCATGCAACAGAAGTACCTTACTACCGAGCCAATGATCATAGGAAGCTGCCTTATGGTGAGGCAGTTATTGCTCTGCCTGGTCCATTACTCCCTACCCTGACTGGCAGCAGATCTCCAAGGTCTCCAGTGGGATATTTCCTAGATCCTACCCAAGGTCCCTTATTGTGGATACTTTTGAACTGGCGGTGCGAGGAACTGAGCCTAAGATCTTCTGCATGCCAAGCAAGCATGCTGCTGTTGAACAACAGTCCCCCGTACTCCACAGCAGCCAACCTGCTATAGGGGGGAAAGCCATGGGGTTCACCAAAATCCCAGGCCTGTATCTGTAGCCCTCTCCAAAATGCAGCATTCTTGCCACAAGGAATGCCACTTCCTCAACATCTGCGCTGCCTTCCTGATGTCTTCCAGCCACAATTGCTCCTGGAGGTTTTTAAGCTCCATAACCCAGAACAGCCTGGGCCCCACTCGTCCTTCTCCCTCCCCCTGTCTCTCTAGAGTTACTTGATCAGACAAGCTGTGTGCCTTCAGTCATTCCAGGAGTCAAGCTGGACAATGAGAACACTTAGACAATGATGCTTTTGGGAGAGAAAGCAACAGTTCTTATAGGGAATCTAGGGCTCATCCAACCCAATAAATGTGCAAAAGAACTGTTAAGAACTGTTAGTAGCTTCATGACCAATATTTATTTGCTTATATTTTCAGAATGCCTTTTCTGCTTGCCAGCAGACAACCTTTCTAGGGGAAAATACTAGTCATACAGCTGCTGAAAGCCCAGCCAAATTAATTATTTTCATTGTTTTATTTTGTCTCTTGCTTTTGGCAATGACTTTGTTTTTAAGTATGTTTTATTTACCCAAAGTGGCTTACATCATTCTCAGCTCCTCTATTTTATCCTCACAACAGCCCTCTGAGGTAGGCTGGGCTAAGAGGGTGTGACTGGCCCCAGGTCCCCCAGCCAGCTTCCTTGGCAGAGTGGGATTTCGATCCTGGAGTTTCCCACATCCTAGTCTCACACTCTAACTATGTGTTTTAGTGTTACTGATAGTTTAATTTTGTAAATTTTTTGTCGAAAAGACAAAATTTCCCAGATTTGAGGCTAAGTTCTTGGGAATGAAACAGGTTAAGAGGCAAAGGGTGTTCTGTTGGGGATAGAGATGTAAAATTTCCGGAAATTTTGAAGCTCGGGAAAAACCCCGGGTTTTTTCCAGTTTTTTTCGGGGGGAAACTGACATTTTTGGAAAAATTGAAAAAAATGCTACATTAGCACTT